TTCATGCAGGCATACATGTAGGTAGGGTAATGATGCAAATTCCTCTTTTAACCGAAGCTAGGTTTCTGACAATTTTAACAGAGTTCTAACTTCCATGATAACCTAAAACAACTATTACAACCATTCATTAGAAACCATTTATTTTTCTAAAGTGGATAAAAACAATGAGACTCAGTATCAGTGTTCTAGAAAATTTGGGAACCATATGTCAAAATATTCAGTGAAAACTATAGAGTCCAGAAGCACATGGATGGCTGTCACTGGAACTGCCTCTCCCTTAACTCTCCCAGTCATGAAGGCCATGCTCAGAATTTCACATAGTGCCCTGCTACTAGACAGAGCCCTCTTCCAGAAGCTCAGAAATCACAACCTTGAGGACAACAGTAAAAATATATCAACATGTATTTCAAAACATGATTCATTATTACATGGATTTAGACCAGATCACATTCCTACAAGTCCATATAAGGTAAGCCAGGTTAGATTGTAAAGAACATGATCATTCATTCATTAAGTACCTATTATATCCCAGGCACTAGGTCAACACCAGGAATGTTTCAGTGAACAACAGTATATAAGTTCCTGTTTTCATGGAGCTTACATTCTAGTGGGATGACAGACAACAATAAACATGTAATTGCAGTTTTCAAAAGTACTATGAAATAAACTCACATAAAGAAAGCTGTACATTTTTTGTCAGATAGTGGTATACTCTTGACCAGGTGATCAGGCAAAACCTCTTGGACAAGGGGTCATTTAAGCTAAGACCTGAAGGATAAGAAAGTGGGCCAAGGGGAAAGGACAGAGCTTGGGCTGTGCTCTAGCCTTTGTGTTAAGTGAGAGGTGAAGCTGGTGCAGTGTGTCAAGACTAGGTCTTGCAGGGATGTTTAGACAGTACAATGTTTTATTTTTTGTGTAATAGAATGCCATCATGGACATTATTAAAAGATCACTTTGGCTTTCAATGTAGATAATAGATAGTGAGGCAAAGGTGGGGTAGTACCAAGGAGGAGTAGTTAGATGTGTTCAGTTGTGCAGGTGACAGATTATCATGGCCTATACCAGGATATCTGAAGTGGAAAGAGACAATTTAATGGATGGAAAAGAAATACATTATGAGTATAGAACTCAACAATCCAAGAGAAAATTGATGTCATTTTAGATTATCTACACCAGTAATTCCCAAACCTTGGTAGCTTGTTAACAGAATCATCTAGACCTGAAGAAGCCGTGGCCTTTTGCAATTAATCCAAGTCGGCTTTATTTCCACACTCCAAATGACCTGGGCTGCCTCCTCACATGGCCTCAAATGACCTGGGCTACCTCCTCAGCATGTGTTAAGAGGGTAGACTAATCTCAAAGCAGTTACAACACTTAAGAAAAAACTGGGTGTCCCAGATTCGGGTTTACTGACAAGCAAATTCAAGTCCCTATAACCATTCTAGCCTCAAACAGCAGGAAGGCTTGGGGAAATGAGCTCTTATATTCAATTGACTTCTCAAACTAAACTTATTTTAGATATTTAACATTGTTAAGAAATTTTTTTAAGTGTGTGGTTTTGTCTTTTGTAAAAGGCAAAATAGTAGGCATCCATGAATTTTTCATAATTAGTGGGTCTTTCTGAGCTTTAGGATTATCTTCATTAACAGTCAGGAACTGACTTGGTAAACTGGCCTGAAAGAGCAGAGTCCTAAAGGCAGAAGCCAAGAGGGTGTGGCTTTAGTGCCTCTTACTCCCCAGGATCTCCAACAGTCCTCCCCAGAATGAACCATGACAAATAAATATCTACACTACATAAAAGCAATGTAGTTGTGACCACTGAGGGAAAAAGAGCCGCCCCAAATAAGCATATGGTCTAAGTAAATGAGTTCCCTAATCTCCCCTATTGCTACCCAAAGATCCTCTTTTATGGAAATTCCAGAATGATCCCGGGCTCCAGGAAGTATCTAATACTAGTCCAAATTCTTCCCCATATATACTAGTGTAAGCTTAAAATTCTACTAGTTTTTCCTCTGCTTCCAGCAAAGATGAAGTAGTAGGGGCCAAAAAAAAAAAAAAAATACTCCCACCTGAAACAACCAAAAACGGGACAAAGTATGCAAAAATAGCTTTCAAAAGACATCAGGCAGCCTGGTGTGCTTGGTGCAGGCCTGTAATCCCAGCAGCTCGAGAGGCTGAGACAGGAGAATCTTGCATTCAAAGCCAGCCTAGCAACAGGGAGGCGCTAAACAGCTCAGTGAGACCCTGTCTTTAAATAAAATACAAAATAGGGCTGGGGATGTGGCTCAGTGGTCGAGTGCCCTAGTTATTGTCTTGAAAAAGTTTTCCAGACCACAGTTAGGGGAAGGGACAGATAGAGATATTGATTGTGGTGGTAGTTTCTTGGGTTTATATGACAAAACAGGTATACACAGTTTATTATATGTCAATTATACCTCAGCAGGGCTGTTAAAATGAAATCCCACTGAGAGGTAACCATTTTAAATCTGTATTATTATATTTTCATACTGTGTAGTTAGCACAAAATCTTACAGGACCATCAAGGATATTGACTAGGAAGTCAAGAGAAAGTATGGGGATGCGGGAAAGAGCGCAGGATGGAGGAAATGTTAACAAACTTGACCACTTGACCAGTGTGTTGAGAGCTGGAGCTAGCAGGGGCAGTCACAGGAAAGGCATGGGGGTGACTTTAGTTGCCACCATAAATGGGCAGCATTACTGGCATTTAGTGGACAAGAGTCAGAGAAGCTTAATTCCCACAATGTGTGGGACCACGTCACATGACCATGAATGGTGCACCACGAAATGCCAATAACACCCCACTGGAAAATCTTAGTATAAAGAGTTCAGTTAGACTAGCTGTTGTCCCTTCCTTAATACCACCATTATCTTTATAACGTGTGTTTTGAGGTTTGCAATGCTAGCAGAATATTTATGAGTCAATTCTGTCATAGCCAATAAGATTTTCTGATGTTTTAGTTTCTATATAATCAGAACCTCCAAAGCCCTGAGAAAGCTGACAGAAACACAGAGAATGTTTCTATAACTAACTCTTTAAACACCTTTAGGAAAATTACAGTTATTGTAGCCAATTTTCGACCAGTTGTCTTGCCCAAAATAGTTGTAAGATTCTAAGATTAAATATTTTTTGGGGGGTGGGGGGTGGGAGCGGTGCTGGGGATAAAACTCAGGGGCCTTATACATGCTAGACAAGCATTCTACCACTGAGCTAAACCCCCAGCCCCAAAATAACTGTGTTTTTTTTTTCTTTTTGAGATGGGGTTTTACTATGTTGTTGCACAGGGTGGTCTTGAACTTCCAGACTCAAATGATCCTCCTGCTTCAGCCTCCTAAGTAGCTTGAACTATAGTAACATGCCACTGTGCTTGACTCCCAGACCCCAAATAAAGCATTTGAGGTTAAAATTCTATAAAGAAAAATGGTGATGTGTTCCAGTAAGGGGGAAAAATTTGCAAACCATTTTTCATGCATGAGAAGAGAAGTTATAATAATTTAGGATTAGAAGAGAACTTATAGATCCTCTTGTTCAAACAGTGACTGAAAGTGCAGTGAGAAAAGGCAAGCTTTTTCTAGCAACCTCAGCACGCAGCATGGTCACCACAGGCTTGTGAAGACTCCCCAGGCAGAACTTCACTTTTACTGTACAGCATTTTGCAGTGCTTTCCTAACATGGATCTCTCTCCTTGCCATGTCTCTCTTTCAGGACCCCAAATTAAACTCACTTTCTCCATGCCTACAAATCCCATGACAGACAGCTCTCAGAATCTTATGCTCTCCTCTTTTTTCTAATGTCTAGATTCATAATTATATAATAGTATCATTCTTGAAGTTATGCAACTTGGGAATCTCTTTATACCCAGATTTCTCTCTCTCATTACAGACTGAAATTTTAACTTCAGATGAACTTCTCCACCAGAGGACACCCTCTAGGATCTCAGGCTTACTGTCTAAACCAGACCTTGGGCCTGATCCCTCTGCATTCTTATTTCTTTGCAAGGCATCACCATTCAGTCACCCCAGCTGCAAACCGCAGTGGTTTCTCTCTCCATCTCTCCCATTTTTCAATCAAGTGCAGTCTTGTAGATTCTGCCTTTGAAATGTTCCTTCCATCCCTTTTTCTTTATTCTTGCTACCTCCACCCCAGTTCTAGTTCTCACTACTTCCCACCAGTCTTTGATCTTTCCTTGCTTCAAATTCATTTTAAGCACAATTGTTAGATTATTTTTTCTATAGTAATGATTTCTATTATACCCTCCTGGTTGTACTTTGAATAGTTTTCTCAATTTCTATGAAATGAAATGTAAAATCTTCATCAGGCCTTTTAAGAACCTCTGAAGTATGGGCGCAGTTGCACTTTTCAAAGACTTCTAGACTGCTTACTGTTCCTGATATGTTTTCCATTTTTACCTTCCTTTATCTTAGTTTACACTATTCCCACCATTTGCTGTGTCCCATTCCATGTACACTACCCCTTTACAAACTATCATCTGACATTCTGACTTCTCTCCAAACTGAATATAATCTTTACCCTCTTTAAATCTCTTTGACACTGCTTCCAACTCTTTTAGGACCCTTAGCATGTTTATGTTGTATTATATTTGTGCAAATGTTACATCCTGGTTAGGGTTCATTTCTGAAGGATAGAAATTATACTTTACTCATCCATGTACTCATCATAGAGCCTAACATTGTATCCTGCACAGACCCAGAACTCAATCAGTGTTTTTAAATTCAGTTTTAATTAATTATTTATTTATATTATAGACCTTTATATAGTCCATGGAAATTAGAAAAAAATATTCTTTTGCATTTGAATTCAGGAGAAAGTTCTCTCAAAATACCTTCCTCATCATTACACGTATGAGATATATAGAACTCAGTTCAAAGCCATTAGAGAAAAAACAAAAAGAAAAACAAATTGCAATATGAAATAACTTTTGACTAGCAAGTTAAAAACATACTCTAAACAACAATCTCACCTGAGAGAGGATTCATTCAGACTTCTACATTTTTTGCTTCTCCAAAATATAAGGCCATTTTTCTCTTCCTTGACTTAAAAAAATTAAAAAGGCATTTGATTATTAATTAAACAAGTTGATTGGATTTACAAAGAAAACCTAGCCACATGTCTTGATTTGGTGACTATTCATAAATCCTCATCAAAACTTGCAAGTTGTCCAAGAATATAGTTGGGCACCATGATAGAGCAAAAAACCTTCAGCTCTGACATTAAAATGTGCTCAAATTCAGACCTTTCCCATAATTGCCTATGTGAACTTTAAATTTACTTTGTTGCTCTAGCCTCAGTATCTTAATTTGCAAAATTAGGGCACATCCTGAATAGAACTCCTGTATCTCAGGAAATAATACCAAGAATGGAAAAATGGTATGACATCAAATTAAAAATCTTCTGTACAGCAGAGGAAACAACAATATGAAGAGAGAGCTTCATGTTGGGTTAGGGTTAGGGTTAGCTCAGTAGAACTGGTCACATTTCAAGTGCTCAGTGGCCACAGATAGCAGTATTATACATAATCAGGCTAGATATAAAACATTTCTAAGATATACCTGAAATGAGTATTTAATAACTCAATCTATGAAAGATCTTGAACAACTAATATAGCTCACTATTTTCATTCTGTTCCTGTAAGTACTGTCCATTTAAAGTTTTCTATAGTTTGGATCTGGAATGTCTCCCAATGGCTCACTGTGTTAAAGGATGCATCCCCAGCTCATGGCACTATTGGAAGGTGGTGGAACATTTGAAATGTGGGGCTAATAGTAGGACATTAGACATCAAGGACATGTCCTTGAAGAGAATATTGGAACTCCAGCCTCTTTCTTCCTCTTTACCACCATGAGGTAAGCAGCTTGTTTTACTATGTGCTCCCCTCCATGACATGCTATCTTGTCACAGGCCCATAAGCAACAGTGTCAACTGTCCATAGCTGAAACCTCCAAAACTGTGAGCCAAAATAAATCTTTCCTCCTGCTGATTTATATCAGGTGTTTGTTACAGTAAAAGCTGATCAATGGAGTTTAAAAACCACCTCTTTCATAAAATGTAAAAAGTATGATTCAAAGTGCTAACCATACCCCATATAAGAACACATGTTTACTAAAAAAAAAAACTTCCTTTTCTCTATATTTCTGAAAAAGTTGGACCTAATTGGGAATCCTGTGAAAATGTGATCATTTAAACTAAGTATTGCTACTACAAATGACTTGCAATTTTGAACTTACTTTGTTCAGATGATTGAGTTGACTGGTGTGTGGACACTTCTGCCATATGACAAAAATATTCCCTAGGCTTTCACCCAAGAGGCTTGGAGTCAGTCTTAATAATTATCTTTATTTAAATACTCAGTAGTTAATGCTTGGTGCTTTTCTAGGCATGATATCATCCTTATTAACATTAAGGATTTTGGTAATAACAATAAAATATCTGTATCTTGCTTGAGGATCACATATTACAAAATGTCTAGAGGGTGAACCATGGGGTCCTATGCAATATCTAAACCAAAGAACCAAGATTTTTGAGGAAAACAAAATATAGCACACATCACTACTGGAATGATGGGAGAAGTTGTTTTTTTTTTTCTTCTTCTAATATGTGCTATGGCTCCATGTGATCATGATAGTTTTGTGTTTCAAAAGCTCCTGCACAAAAGTATCAGATGGTGCTTTTGAGTATGAAAGTAAAGAAGAGGTAACAAAAGGTGTGATCTATGTATGTACATAAGATAAATTATTCATTGCTTTAACATCATTTGCAAGGTTTCTAGGAATTTAAATTTCATAAAACCTATATATATTGTACTGTATTCTTTCAACATGTATTTTGATGTTCCTATATATGTTGGGGGGGAAAGCCAAGAATAATTATGCTTGTGAACAAGGATAAATATGCATTTAAGGCAACTAACACCAGTTGCACACCCTAATTAGTGCAACAAGAGACCTGGTAAGCAACCAGGGATTTGATAAGCCTACTAATTACAACAACTTTTACAAACAGTTTCCATGCCCTAGCATGTCAGTGTGGAGAAGTGCTTAGCCATGAAAGTATACAAATAAAATCTGCCCACATTTTGTAGCTCTTCAATAATCCAAGAGGCTCTGAGTTTGACCAGAAGTGAAGTCTAGTGAACAATGAAAGACTAATAAAGGCTAGTCTGTCTACACTGGCTAGACACCAGAAGTAGAAGGGCTTATCCATGTGCCCCCATGGACCTTTATTCTTCCATTCTTCTATGCAAAGGAATCAATCCTGATGGCAGACTCCCTTAAGTCAACCATCCAGCTGTGTGCCCAATCCTGGCCATAACATTCCAGGTAATACAGTGACTACAGAGATGAGGAAATTGAGGTTCAAAAGTTTAAGTGATTTGTAGAAGATCACAGTCAAGAGATGTAAGAACCAGGATTTAAACCTGGCTTAGCCAAGTCCAAGTTCATGCTCTGTTTCTCTGCTTTTCACTAATTCCCAGTCATAGGGGTAGATACCTTAAAGGACTCTCATATATTTCTAGGTACATCTATATCTATATATCTTTATCTCTAAATATCTGACTATTTTTATTCACAACACTTTGACATCAAATTAGTGAGGTTGTTTTCCTTCACCCAAAAACCAATCCTTCAATTCTCTGAACACCAAATGGTGGTCCTATAATCCAATTCAGTTCTGACACTAATTATCTGGAATTAGCATACACCAGATAGGTTAAGGACTCAGTCACAAAAGACGGGTGTTCCCCCCTGAAGAGGGCCAGAGTAAGCCATTTCTAAATAATCCACATTAGCATATTGGCCATTTTGACCAGATAGTACTTGAAAAATAGCAGATGTGCAAAGGGGTCACTGACCTACTTTAAAGTTGGGATATAAATTTCACACGAAAAAAATTTAACCTTGCTACCCTACCCCATACCTAGAAAAGAACACTCTTATCCCTAGAGATAGGGAGCTGACACTAAGAAGAATCTGCACAAACTTAGTAAAATAACCTTTTATCTTTCATTAGATTCCCCTATATATTTTCTGGTCACTTTCCTCTTACAACAGCACCTAGCTAAATAAAACCCCTTTGATTTGTCTTTTCACAGTTCCCCAATTTATCATTCTTCGTCAAGATAGTATATAAGCTTTTAGGTCTGTCTTCTTTTGGGGGTCTCCATTTCTCTTCTATGAATCTTCCATTACCATGTAAAATGATTAACATCAAATTAAACTTGCATGTTTTTCTCCTGTTAATCTGCCTCTTGTTGATTCTTAAAGCCAACCACAGAGAGTAGAGAAAAAGTCTTTCTTTCCCCATGCAACCCTCCACCTCAGGTTCAATAATTTGCAAAAACATTTCATGAAACTCAAGAAAGTGCTTTACTTACTATTACCAGTTTATTAGGAAAGATGCAAATCCCAAGCAGCCAAATGGAAGAGATACACAGGGCAACATGTTGGGGGTGGGGGTTCAAAGCCTCCCTGCCTTCTCCCAGCACACCCCTCTCAATGACTTCCATGTGTCACCAACCTGGAAGCTCTCCAAACCCAGTTGGCTTTCCAAACCCCATCATTCATGAGTTTTTTAGTGGAAATTTCATTAGGTAGGCAGTGATTTATTAAATCATTGGCCATTGATGATTAACTCAGTCTCCAGACCTTCTCACCTCACTGGAGGTCAGGGTTGGAGTGGAGGTGGAAAAGGACTGAAAATTCCAATTCTCTAATCACATAGTTAGTTCCTCAGACAACCAGCCTCAATCCTGAAGCTACCAAGAAGCTAACCAAGTGCCACTTCATTAACTTGAACTCAAGTATCATTGAAAGGAGTTTGTTATGAGTAACAGTATTCCAGTCAGGCCCATTACTTGGGAAATTGCAAGGATCTTCAAAGCTCTGTATCAGGAACAGAGGGCAAATACCAAATACACAATTCTTATTGTATCACTCTCTCTCTCTCTCTCTCTCTCTCTCTCTCTCTTTGAAGACCATGAAAACAAACACTGTTATTGCACTATATATTATATTCTACATTTATCCACTTTTTCTTGGAGTTTTTAAACTTCTTCACAAGAAAAGCCCCAAATGTGAAACATAAAGGATGGCAGTTCTAGTAGCATCAGATGAATGCCAGGAGCCCTGACTCCTTGTCCTCCCCTTCTCTCCCCACCGCACCATGGACCTTCCAGCTGTCTTTGGGCACAACAGGAAAATCACCAGCCACAGATACTGAGTTCTTTAAGAACAAGATTGATCTAGTCATGTATTATAATTGTTGGGTGGTGACAAAGATTCTTTCCTTAACCAAACGCTCCTCAGATTCTTCTAAGCTTTTCAACTAGGCCTCAACTTTTAGACTTCTATATTCTCTGCATTGTTCAGTTTTAGCTAAACTGTAGAGTTATATATACTAAGGTCTCTTTTTCCCTATTTCAGTAGTCCTGAGTAAAATCTGTTTTTACCATCTTAACTACTATTCAGCTCTGGTTTTCCTTGATAGTGAAGATTCCTAACAAATATTTCTGAATGAAAAATAAGTGCTCTTGATAGCCATAACTATTTGGGCAGGACCTCATGGCTTTCCTTGCTGGCTGTAGAGGCAACTATCAAGGAGTATCCTAGAGGAAAGTTCACATTCCTTCAGGTTTCTCACTGTACTTCTTTACCAGGTTTGTTGTTGTTGAAATCTGTAGATGTCAATATGATTATTAAAATTAAATAAGAACTGACCAAATTGAATCTAAATTATAACTCATTCTTTAAAACAAACAAACAAAAGCAAAAAGTTGGGGCTAGGGATGTGGCTCAGTGGTAGAGTGCACACTTAGCATGCATAAGGCACTGGGTTCGATCCTCAGCACCACATAAAAATAAAAAATAAAGATATTGTGTCTACCTAAAACTAATAAATAAATAAATAAATAAATAAATAAATAAAAAGCAAAAACTTACTGAATATAGTTCTCTTTCCTCCTTTATCCTTTTGTCCTGCCTTATTTTCTTTCTCCCTCCAAGCTTTCCTTCCTTTCCATATACCCTAAATTTATTGCAAATTGTGCCCAGCCACTGAGCTGCTGATAATGGATTGGTCAGTTCATCTTCTATTTAGAGAACATTGGGTAGCTTTTCTACCTCATAAAGAAACTGATCTTACATCATTTTGAGAAATATATTCCATACCTTTTTTGTTGTTAGCATTGGCATGATGAAATGGAATTATGAATTTCCTGACACCTTTTGATTTTTCACACTCTTTTTTCAAAACAGTTGAAGAATAGATGATACGAATGTGTTGGTTGATTTCTCTATCAGGTGAACTCAAAAATTCTGGGTAATCATCAACCTGAAAAATAAAAGTAATCAAACTCATTGAAGACAAATATAACTACTTACCCATTTGGGAATAATAAGTCCCCCAAAGGTAAAGGCAAGTTTAAACTGCATTCTTTCTTTTCATATTTCCACTGGTACAAATAAGTAGTAACATGCTTTCATTTGTTAAATTATATCCCACTCCACTTTTCATTTTGAAAATAGATCTCAAAATATATAATTAATTGGGTTTAAAATAGGATTTTTCTATATAGCAGCCAACGTCCTGCAACAGTCTACACAGATTCTGTAAGTACAAACATCACTATGGGAACTATTGGAAATGTGTTCTGCTTCCTCCAATTAAATCAAAATCTAATTTTGATTTTAAAAGAAAAAGGTCTCAATAAATACTGAGGACTTTTAGATTTTTCTTTCAATAACTTATTTCCTTTTTCATGAAAGAAAGCAACAATATCTGATTGGAAATCTAAGAGTAAATCTAGAGAATCATACAGGCATACTTCAAAACATTAATTCAACAATCAGGAGAGATTCCACTATAGCTTTTTTCAAGAACTTAGAATTCAGATTAAAATATTTCACCATTTCATCTTTCTCTTTGTCACAAAGAAAGAAATATTAAATAATTATAACAATTTAAAATTATAATTCAGAGTAATGGAAGAAAAATAGATCAATGAAAACTTATCAGGATCTACTTAAATTTAATATATAAAAATTACTTTCAAGGTATACCTCAGTGTAAGATCAAAGGCCCTGAGTTTGATCCCCAGCACTGCAATATATATATAATAACTACATCATATATAAATATATATTAAAGACAAAATTTATAAATATATCTTTATAAATAAACATACATTTTTTTCAAAATATAGAAAATAATTCATAGAGTTAATGAAACATAGCCCAATGTAGGTCTTCAGAGGATGTGCTTTAATTAATAATGACATTTTATAGTTAGTAAAGGAATTCTCTTGTGCATAGGACTCTTCAGAAATGCCTTAACTTATTTCAAACTTTCATTCTCTAGAATTTTTAAATGCCTTTTTATTATATATGATCATTTTAAATAAAAATAGAAAATGCATGTAAAAACAGAGAAGAAAATAGAAAATCATTATATATAATTCCACCCCACACCCCAGTACTTGGGATTGGGGGATTGAACCCAAGGCACTCTACCACTGAGCTACATCCCTAGCCTTTTAAAAACTATTATTATTTAATTTTGAGATGGCATATTGATTAAATTGATGAGGCTGGTATTGAACTTGCAATCCTCCTGCCTCAGCCTCCTGAGTAGCTGGAATTACAGGAATGTATGACCACAATTGTATTTTATAATCTCAGATTGAAGATAATTTAAATCCTTGAACTGATATTGTACAATCATAAGATACCAAGATAATTTCTAAGAGAAAATACTGAAACATTGGCTACTTAAGTATAATTTTAAGTATATATACTTCTGCTTCTTATTTTTATATTTATAGAGAAGCTATGTTTTGGCCATTTTAATGTATGTGCTTCTTTACAGTGGTTCCACTCTTGCAAAAGAGGTTTTTTGTTTTTGTTTTTGTTTTTAGCTATAACCCTCAGCCCTGAAAGCAGGTTACTTTTTACATCCATTTTTTAAAACATTTTTTAGTTGTCAATGGACCTTTATTTTATTTATTTATTTATAAGCAGTGCAGAGAATCAAACCCAGTGCCTCATACATGGTAGCATGTGCTCTACCATTGAGCCACAACCCCAGCCCCCTCTACATTCATTTTTAAATGTTTTGTTGCCAAAATTCATATGCAGCAAAACGAACACACACACACAAAAAACAAAAAACCCAATCAATAAATGGGCTAAAGAGCTGAACAGGCACTTCTCAGAAGATACACATTCAATCAACAAATATATGAAAAAATGTTCAGCATCTCTAGTAATTAGAGAAATGCAAATCAAAGCTACTCTAAGATCTCATCTCATGCCACTCAGAATGGCAGTTATCAAGAATACAGACAACAATCTGTTGGTGAGGATGTGGGAGGAAAGGCACACTCACACATTATTGAAGGAAGTGCAAATCAGTCCAACCAATCTGGAAAGCAGTATGGAGATTCCTTAGAAAACTTGGAATGGGGGTAGCTGGCTGGGATCGTGGCTCAGTGGTAGTGTGCTTGCCTAGCATGTGTGAGGCACTGGGTTCCATTCTCAGCACCTCATACAAATAAATAAAATAAAGGTCCATCAACAACTAAAAAATATTAAGAAAAAGAAAAAGAAAACTTGGAATGGAATGACCATTTGACCCAGTTATCCCACTCCTAGGTCTATACCCAAAAGACTTAAAATCAGCTACTATAGTAATACAGCCACATCAATGTTCATATCAGCTCAATTCACAATAGCTAAACTGGAATTAAGCTAGATGCCCTTCAATAGATGAATAGATAAAGAAACTGTGGTATACATACACAATGGAATATGACTCAGCATTAAAAGAGAATAAAATAATGGCATTTGCAGGTAAATGGATGGAGCTGGAGAATATCATGCTAAGCAAAATAAGCCAATCCCAAAAACACAAACGCCAAATGTTCTCTCTGATTAGCGGGGCATGGGAAAAATGGAGGAACTTTGACTGGGCAAAGGGGAGGGAGGAATGGGGGCAGGAAAGATGGTGGAATGATATGAACATCATTACCCTAGGTACATGTATGACTGCACATATAGTGTGACGCTACATCACGTACAACCAGAGAAATGAAAAGTTGTGCTGCAATTGTGTAAAATGAATCAAAATGCATTCTGCTCTCTTATATACCTAATTAAAATTAATTAATTAATTAGTTAAATTTAAAAAGTGTTTTGTTGCCACTTTGACTATACAGGTAATGAAATATCATTTCTCAGGTATCCATTGCTTTCTCTTAACCAAGAGTCCAAATCTCTTCTGATAACCTCTGAACTTTTACCTTCCCCAAGTCAGATTCTAATTATAAGAAATCAATATATAAAATTTTCAGGATATCTTTTACCTCTAAAATATCCTAGAGATTTTCTGGAGGGTTCCTAAGAAAATCACAAAGACTCTTTCTTTCACCTTAAAAAAAAAGAGAGGTGCTTGAAACAGGCTTATTTGGTCTACTTACAATTGTAAATTCCATGGAAAGAGTTGTCAAGTCAGAAGAGATGTTCAGCCTTCCTTAGGTTTAATTTGTATAGTTAAGTTGTGATAGTATAAATATTTTAGAAACTGCATGTTTTATGGGGAATCTTTGGGGATTTGCTAATGTTCTTGCCGCCCATTTTTCAGGATCTTGGTGGTGCTTTGCTTCATCATATTAGACAACTGGAATGCATGCTATCAGTCATAATTTCAGTCATGCAGAATGCTGACTTGGCCACAGCCTTGCTTTTAATTTGCATACGCCATTTTCTATACTAGTAAATTTTTTGAGGGATTATTTTGGTCTTATTAATGCAGTTAGTAAAAAATACAAATATCAAATTCCTTCTTCAACTCTCTTTATTTATATTCTTTTCTTATGCTTATTCCATTCTTGACTTATATAAATGTTGTATCTTAGTATTATTATGTCATGTCTCATTGTAAATTATGTTCATTTTATTTTTGTAAATCAGATGTAACATTTACTGATTTCTTTGAAAACAGGCTTAGTGACTGTCCTTAGAGATATTTTAAAAATGTTTTTACAAATTTATTATATTTGCTCTGCATGACACAGGAATACCCAAATTTTCCTGTCAGTTGCCTTAATCTTATTATGACCCTCTTCAAAACTTTCACAATTAAATGTTCTCAGAAATAAACTAACCACAGTCATTTGAATTCTCTGACTTTTACAGATCATTTTGGTTTTACTCTGATGCTGGCTTGAGGGTTCACCTCTAAGCAAAAGATCACTTGTCTTCAACAAAGGATGGTCACAAAGCCTCCTGGAAAAGGATTAAACCAGTACTTTAAACTACTAACACTTCAAAGCTGTGTGGACATTGCTTAGACATGTTTCAGACCACACCTGAGTCAGGATGTCTAGCACTGTATTTAGGTCAACGAGTAGATGACTTCATGAGACTTCTAACTCGAGATTCAGCAGAACAAGAATTCACTTTATAGAGTGAAGGAAGTTGAAAAAGAAAATTTTATTGTTGTTGTTTGGTTCGTCATAAAGTTATGAATAATGTAGCCAGAGCATAAGGATACTGGAAATTGGAATATTATTGATATTGTTTTAGTGTTCTATTCTGGGGACATAAAAGGAAGCTGTTTCTTAAATTATAACCCATATGTAATCCATTCTGCTTTTGAAATCTGAAAATTTTTAAATATCTGATTTTCCTTTACTCTCCAAAATACAGAAACTTGTACTATATTCAGTAAGAATCTGCCTTCCTTTTTATACCAGGACATAATTGGCCACATTGACTGTACAACCAATGGCTTACATGAAGTATCATATATAAGACGGTTGTTAATGTAGCAAGGAAGAGCAAGCCACATTAAGATCAACCGTTGCTGGTTCTTATGAAGCCAGTGCTTACAAACCCCTCTGCCCACCACCACCCAGAAAATAGCCCTCATATTTGCTTAAAGAGTCCCAGCCTTACAAAGTGAGACATTTTTAGGACATGAAGAAAAAACTTTTGGGACCTCAAAATTCACTCAAATTTATAGGTACTGCCAGAGAAGTCTGGTAGTTTCTTTGGCTTGGTTTCTCAGCATTAAGATAACAAATAGTAGAGGCTTTTGAAGGGCTAACTTGACATTCATTGTGAAGTTTTAGAACCTAAATTTAGTCTGAAATAGTTATATAATACTATAGATTTGCAAAACATATTTAAAGATGCTAATATGGTTAATTAACACTTGCTGTACCTATGTACCCAATTAGGCTGATTTAAGCCTTATTTTATAAATAAGAATCATCTTTAATATTATTATGATGGTGGGACTGGGAGGAACTTTGAAGAAAATTTGTGAAAGAC